ATTTCGAAATATTAGCTTGAAGGTCGCGGTACATTGAGATTGGTATGTTGGCCTTAAAACGCGAATTTTCAAGCATGCAGTTTGCATTTTTACGAATTTGGAGCACTAACCAAAATTTCTGACGCAGTAAAGAATGAAGGGCTGTTCAGTTTGCATTGTGCAGCGCATAAAATTTATAAATATTCCTGGTTCCTGGCTTCTTTTGTGCGCCACAATATTACTTGGGTTTTGATTATTTATAAAAGGCCAGGGCAAAAATGAAAGAGGAGTCGGAAAGCTGATTTCACATTTCTGGCTATCTGCATATCTGACGCTGGCGAAAGTAGCTTAGTGATAGATAGCACTGCTCTTGTGCTTGATATCGAAGGCCTGATAATAGGACAAATGATTTTTTAATATATATTTTTTAATATTCGATCATTCGTTTCCATAGAACTTGTGCATGTCAGGAATTCAAGCCCATTCTAAGATTTCTCTTTATCAACCATCGAAAAAGAAGATTTTGATAGTCTTGCCGGTATTTTGTTTGCTTTTGGCACGTGCTTTCGAGTGCCTAAAGAGTAAATATGGAATTGATTTCAACTCTTTAGATACCAGGACTTTTGTTCTCAGAATCTTTTGCGATTCAATTAGTTTTTGCAACTTCTAAGTCAAAATTATTTGTCCAAATACGTCCGAACATGTGTTCTGGTTGTAGTACGTCTTGCTTTTTGCGGAAAATCGTAAAAAGTTGTTTCCAGTAAAGAGGCCGAAAAAACGGAAACAGAAAAGAAGGCTGATGAATTGTATCGTTCTGCGATGCGCTTTCTGGATAAAGGACGCTCTTCGTCAACTGAAGCCAAAAAAGCCGCCTACAGACTTCTGGACGAGGCTGCTCAGCTCAAGCATAAAGAAGCAATGAAATTAACCGGTATGCTTTTTCAGCTTTTTTTCTCGCAGCTGAATTATGAACTGTTTTTGTACATTTATATCCCTGAAGTTTTACCAGTATAAGGTGCTGATTCCTTAAAAATGTCAAACCAGAAGGACAACAAGACCCACTTATTTACTTCTTAACGCACAATGGGAATGATAAAATCGTTGTTTTTGCAGCATACGCATATTTGTTTGGTGATTATACGCGATGGAACATTGATGAAGCACGAGCAATCTTCGAAGAGCTGGCAGCAGGGGGCTCAGCTGATGCGCAGCTGGCGCTTGGTTTCATGCATGCCACTGGTCTGGGAGTTCCAGAATCTTCTCAAGCAAAAGCGCTTATTTACTATACGTTTTCTGCGTTGGGTGGAAATCCACTGGCTCAGATGGCGTTGGTATGTTTTGCAGTTTCTCGAAATACCTTTAATATTCCTTGTCTGGAATTATCACGATTATACTTATGCTTCCGTATCGCTTCAAATATACAGAAAAATACGCACGCGCTTTCCTCGTTTAATGATTAAATAGCCTATCGTTGTCGTTTGTAGAAAATTAATTATTATGCGTTTTGTGCTGTGTTACAGCAGTACAAAACGCAAATTGTCACGGGGTTGTCTGTGTGTGTGTTTGTGTGTGTGTGTGTGTGTGTGTGTGTGTGTGTGTGT